AATAACTAATAAGATAATTAATAGTAGTGGCAGTAGTTATATATAGAGAAAAAAAAACGATTAAGAAAACTGTCGGTTGGACTTAAGATTGGCCCTGATCGACTAATAATTTTGACAAACGAGAGCCAACAAGTTCTTCTGCCAGCAATACTAATTAATGCAAAACATATCGTTCATGCCATTGATTAGGTAGGAACATATATAATAATATTCACTTGTATCTAACATAAATTATATATAAAATAACATACATACATACATACATACATACATACATATATATATATATATATATATATATATATATATATAACCCATGAAACAAACTTATCATATATGCTAATCTGGTGGTGTGTATAATATTTATACAAGTCAAGGCCTGGATTAATATTTTTGTAGATTATTTTTAAGCTTTAACAACCTGAATTCTTTTTCTTCTGCTTTTCCCCTCTTACGTCATAAGGAATGATGCAAAAATATTCTGCGTCTCATATCATGAAAAACACATGGCCGAGGTTTTTTTTTTTTTTTTTTTTTAATAATTAAAAACACATGGAGAGTTGGTAAAGAATATTGATGATTAAACTATGTTATAGAGTATCGGAAAATACTAATAGTAGGTGGATCTTGCAGCATGCAATATATGAGACTCATTTTTTTTTTTATAATTAAAAACACATGGAGAGTTGGTAAAGAATATCGGTGATTAAACTATGTTATAGAGTATCGGGATATACTAATAGCAGGTGGATCATACAACATGCAATAGACGAGACCCATTTTTTATGAGTGGTAACACTAGTGATGCCTTAAGTATTTCTGGTGATTATTTTCCTTAACAAAGGTGACAAATTGGATTATTTCAATTTAAAGAACTCATAACACAATTACGCCGAATCAATAGCTATTAGTTAGTCTAGTACCACAGGTGATATATATACCTTTCGTTGGGCTGGGACTGAACAATTATATTGCTCACACACACATATATATTATATATATATATATGTGTGTGTGTGTGTGTGTGTGGTCGTTCGTGGTTTATGTATGCAATTTTTTCTTTTTTCTTTTTCTTTTTCTAGTACTGTTGCAACTTGCAAGTCATGAAATTAACTTATTTTAAGATATCAAGGCATATAATTGAAGCACTTTGTGTTGGTCATTGATCAAAATCACACAGGTTTCCCAATTCTTCAAACTACGTGTATGTGCAAGTTTATTTTATTTTAATTTTTTTTAACCACCGGATTGAAACACCAGAAATTAGATGTGAATAATTTATTAGCATATAGTGAAAAAAATAATTGACAAAATTTCTTAAATGCATGGTGAAAAAGTTTTAGAAAAAAATAAAAAATAAGATAATAACAATATAATAATGCTCAAGAAAATAATAAGATAAATATGGTATTCATGAGATCAAAGTAATATCACAAATATGAACTTCAAAAAAGTAATATCATAAATCTATTGTATATCTATTAATCTATTATCTAGCTAGTAATATACACGAAAGGAGAATCCGTTTCTCCTTTGGTAGCCGCGAGAAATGTTGGTGCATGAGTGGAAACATGTGAAACATTTTGCACGGCATTTCCCTCCATGCTTTGCATGTGAGACTCACATGCGAAGCGTTTTGCCAATTTTTTTATTTTATTTTCTGAGTTTTTTTTTTTAAATTTTTTAAATTTTTATTGTATTTTACTTTTTATTTTTCTCCTTTTTTGTCTCTATTTCTTCTTGTTTTTCTTTTCCTTTTCTTTCATTTTTTTTCTTCCAACAATTTGTATAATAATTGTTTTAAAAAATATCATAGTCTGATAATAAGAGTAAATAAGTCGTCTGGGCGATGTATAAGAGGTAAGAGATTAATTAATTAATATGACTGTTGACAGTGAATTTTTGCCAACAAAAACAGGCCGGTTTACCTCTGAATTTCCTGTCGGATTACCGGCTTAAAAATATGTTATATGTAGGAGTTTGATGTGCTTGTGGTATTTTTTGTGTAGTAGGTAATGTAAGAAAAAATATTTAAAGTAGGAAAACGCACAAGATTTATAGTGGTTCACTCTTATAAAATAAAGAGCTACATCCACTGTGGTTTGTTATTCCTTTTTGAGATTGTTACAATTTACAAATTGCTCTTTCGTTCTTTCTTTCTCCGGAAAGATCAACCTTCTTTCCGTATGAGGTTTCTCTCTTTTTATAGCCGAGCTTCCTTCTTTGGAGGGGTTTTCTCCTGTAGGCTGAACAAGCACTCAAGTGGTCTGCCTTTCTAGGCCCAGCCCGTAGCCCACTAATCACTTTTTGCGCACTGTTCACTCAGCTAATTGGTCTCCCATTACGGCTCTGTGCACAGCTGTAACCCTTTTCTGTCCCCCGTAGGGGCGGTTTAAGGGTTTGCATTTAATGCCTGTACTATGGACATCCCTTACGCAGCTTGCCACGTCAGGCTTTCCCCCAAGGAGCACTCCCCTCATCGCCAGTGTTGTTTAGCCCAATTGTTCTTCTTGGCGGTGGACTTCTATGTTGTAAGGTCGATGGTACGACCTATCGACGTCAGATGAAATCGACGCCCTAAGTTGGGCTTCTTACTCGGGCTCTTAACGACGGAAGGGAAGGGGGTCCCAGACGTCGAGGGTTCTGCTTTGTGAGGAGAGGTTAAGGCCACGTGTCATGTTGTCCTTCCTCCACGTGTCCTCCATATTTTCCCCCATAACAATGACAAATAGTGGCAGTAGTTACAGAAATAAAACGATTAAGAAAAGTGTCGGTTTCACTTAAGATCGGCCATGATGAACGAATAATTTTGACAAACAAGAGCCACCAAGTTCTTCTCTCAGCAATGTTCATGCAAAACATATTTATGCCATGGATTTGGTAGAAAAATAGTCATTTGTATCAAAGAAAATATAAACTAACATATGCCATGAAACAAACTCGTGTATACATACGAAAATATAGAGAATTAAGTAATATGCCATAAAAATTCCAACAGTTTTGTATTTATGCAATCTTTTTTATTTAAAAATATATATATTTTGGTAGAATATAATAAAATATTCTATCGGAGTACTCTTTGAAAATGGCAGACCATCTTTGTCTGAGAAGAAAAAGTAATCTGGTTGGGTATTAAAAATATCCTATCAGAATATTTTCTGGTGAATTAAGTGATATAAATGTTAAATTCATACTCTTAGATGGGTATAAACATAAGCATGCATCTTTTGAGGGGTGTGCGTATATATGTGGTTGTTTGAGTCTTTCCAACGAAGCTGCATGTAGAAGTAAAAACATAACGTGACGTTTATTTAAGAAACACCGACGTTGAAAATGTGAAACACTAAAACATTTAATTATCTCTTATTATTATTACACCTTTCTAACATCCTTATTAAGTTAAATAACTAAACTAAAGTGTAAAAATACTTATAGATAGTTAAATTTTTTGGTTCTACGTACGTCTTTATAATATTCATGTTATGTTGATTAATAACTTTTATGTTATATTAATAATGTTTGTGTTACATTATATAAATGTCACGTTAAGTTTTTATTTTTATAAATGTTATGAAAGTTTGACTGTCCCATAAGAGACATGGCAGACAACACCTATATCTATAGGTATACATATATAAATATACACACACATTCGTTGACCAGGCGGTGTACAGGATCAAGATCACCCGAAATTTTTTAGACCACTATTATTATTAAGCCCTCAACAACCTGCGTTCTTCTTCTTCTTTTCCAAAGCAGTGCTCTCACGTCATAAAGAATGATCATACAAAAAGTGAAAAATATATTATCATTCTCAATTATATCAAAGACGCAACGCGAGTAGGTAAAGAATATTGGTGGCAATTTGGGTTGACAAACGTGAGAAATTTAGATTGTTCCAAAGAACATATAAAATAATTAGGCTGAATTCAATAGCTACTATAGCTAGTCAGTCAACTACAGGTAATATATACACCTATCTGGATCTGGGGCTGTGGCTGCTACATATGGTAATTGAACAATATTATTGCCCGTGTGTGTGTGTGTGTGTGTGTGTGTGTATATATATATATATATATATGTCTGCGGTCGTTCGTGGGTATATGCATATATCAGTCAAGTCAACACGTCTTATGTTTTGCGATTTTTCTGTAGCTAATGTTGCAACTTGCAAGTCATGAAAGTTAACTAATGGGGTTGAAGTGAAAGCACGTATATAAGTGGAGAAATGTTGGATTTTACTAATTATGTAGTGTGAACACATCCTTTTATAATACATATACATATATATATATATATATGTGTGTGTGTGTGTGTGTGTGTGTGAACGTATGTATCTTTATATCTTTATATATATTAACTAAAAGGAATATTACATCTGAATTTATGATCATGTGATCATGATTTATTCATAATTCCCAGCTTCTTGGAATATGGGAAAGGAAGATATCCATTATCAAATTAAACTCTGTGGGTACCGGTCGTCCAAAGGTTTTGAAAATATTGCATACCTACCAAACAATAATTAGAAGATCAAAAGGGAGGGGAGAAAAAAGAAACACAAATTATAACTAATTACTTTGAATTGACTTACCGTGCATGCACATTGATATCAACGACCTTTAGCTCGATAGTTAAACAGAAGTTCCACCCATAAATTTTCATAATGAAAACACAGATTTTGACCTTAGAGAATTGAGTTACGTATTAAAAGACTTGGAGAGTCATTTTTTTTTAATTTATTTATTTTAGCACTTTGGGGTTATCAGAATTACCATACCATATGAAAGTACTTTATTATACCAAATGCTCATTCACATGAAGTTTTAAACTAAATATAGATCCCAACAAATTTGTATACATATGAACATTAAAGAATGTTGCAAAAGAATTCAACTGCTAGCGTATTAAATTTATTAATCAACGGAGAAGAAAATTCTCAACAATTTTATTAATTAATAAAGATCAAGAAATAACGTACACTACAGACCTGTGAGAAATTACTTAGATACATTCCTAGCTATAAAATAAGATATATATAAATATATATATAACTGTTTTTATTTATAACCTCGAATCTATAACAAAGTCTCCTAATAAGAGCTTATTTTATGAATTGTTAATAATGACACGAAACACAATAATAATTTATTGAATATTTTTTTTCGCATGATAGTTGTGACTTGTGAGCAACTCCACACCAAGAGCAACTAGCAAGCTTAATTAGCCTTAATTAATGTTTCCACGACCATTTTGCTCCATTATAATGTCTTGAACTAAAGAAGACATGTTCAAGTGAGAAGATCCTCCTTCTTCAATAGCCTTTCTTGCCATTTCCCTTCTATTATCCGCTTCTTCATCTCCACCGTCCATCACCATCATGATGGCCCTTTTCACATCATCTCTCTTCACCAACACCCCAACTTTCTCTTCCTCACCCCACCTAACGGGTACTTCAACTCCGACACTAACTCCAATCTTCAAAACTTCCACAACCAACTTCTCATTCAAGAATTGCTCGGCAAAAAGTGGCCAAGTAATCATTGGCAGACCGGAACAAACCCCTTCAATTGTTGAGTTCCATCCACAATGTGTCAAGAACACCCCAACCGCTTGATGGGCAAGAATCAGCACTTGTGGGGCCCACCCCTTTATCAAGAGTCCTCTTCCTTTGATTCTCTCCTCAAATCTCTCCTCCAAAACCCATCTCTCAAACTCATGAAAATTTTTCTCCTCTCTTTTGACCACCCAGATGAAAGGCTTCCCACATGCCTCCAAGCCCAAACCTAGCTCCCTCAGTTGGGATGGAACCAAACGACATTGGCTGCCAAGACAAGCATAAACGACAGAGTTTGGCTCCATCTTGTCCAACCAATCTAGGCATTGCCGTTCGTTGATTGAAGCCTTGTTTCCTCTCTCCAATTTGTCCAAGTTGTCCTTGTTGCACATAGACACCGACCCAATGCACCAAACCTTCTTGTTTAGTGCCTTTGAGAATTGTTCTCGAAATCCTTTTTCCAATTCTTCAAAACTATTCACCACAACACCAAAGGATTCAGATTCAGCCTCTCTCATCTTGTCTCGAAAATCGTCCAAATCGGGCTGAGTCACGAACGATCCGGGCAACTGGGCCTTGGTGACTCGGATGTTGAAACTCTCACCTAGGCCCGGTATGAGAAAAGGCTCGGAATCGGAAGTGACCGATTGATGAACGTTGTGGAGCTTGATATTGTGAGCAGCCAAGAGTGAGAAACAACACATACCATGGAAAACAATCCTCGGAATGTTGAACTTCTTAGCTATCTCCGACGTCCAAAACAGACATTTGTCCGATATTATACAGCTCGGTGCCGGAGTTTGATCTCGGAGATAATCCTCTAGTGGCTGTTGCAACATGTCGAGGGCTTTGTAGAACTTTCTAAGAAGGTCTCTCGAAGGCAAGCTGTCGAGATTCTCGTACCCAATTGGGAGTCCCACTTCTTGGCTTGGGAATTTGATCCGAACCAGCCTGATTGGGAGGCCGGAATCTGCAGCTCGATTGATCGTCATTTCGAATCTCGAGGCATTGTGAGGGGTTGTCACTAAGCTCACAACAACTCCACGCTCTGCCAAGAGCTTGGCCATGTCTATCATGGGGATCATATGGCCTTGTGCCATGAGTGGGACTAAGACAAAGTGAGGACGATCCATTAATGTTTCACAAGAGATTTAGGTACTGATTTGTTTCTCTTTAGATCAGCGATATGGTACCAACAATGAACAGGGTAAGACTTTTTCTTTTTGTTTTTTTAATATTTGTTTTTTGGATTTTGGTTCTCTCGAAATGAAATGAAAGTCAGAATGAGCAAAAACGTGACATGGGCTATTTTTTTTTTATATAGTTTATGAATTTAATACAAAGGGGTGACAAGATCATGTACATAAACATTTGGCATTATAAGGAAGCTCTCAAAGTCTCCTTTAATGACCTTGACTTTGAATGTTTCAAACACGACATCATCGTGAACAACACACAATGGACGCGCTCTCTTTCTGTACCATATGTAATTAATTTGAATAAATGAAAATTATAACCGTAATAGTATGTGTATGTACGTAATATTAGCTTAACGAGTGCTGGTCATAATATACGTACGTATTACTAACCCTATCTGATATGTCGTTTGGGAAAAAGTACAAAAAGATAATCAAGGGGTTATAGCTGCAAAAGTTGATTTCTTAAATTGTGCGGCCCAAACTATTGTCAGAGAGCAAAAATATTAAAGGGAGAAAGAGAGAAATATGCCGATACTTGAGATGAATTAAAATTAATATGCTAATAGTTTACATAAGTTAATAAATAGACTAAATTACTATTTTCGTCCATAATTTGTCTGGTTATGAACCATAACTTGACAAGTTATTTACGGTTTTTGTCCATAACTTGTCTGGGTATGAACCATAACTTGACAAATTTGTCCATAACTTATCTGGTTATGAACCATAACTTGACAAGTTATGGCCTATTAATTTCTTGTCACGCCCCTAAACCGGGGTTAGTGACGTGGAGGCTCGTTTAGAAACTTTAACCTATTTGAGAGAGAGTGATTAGCAAAATAATTTAATTTCTTTCAAATCCAAAACATCCAGGTATTTCTAAACGAGCCCCTGCATTCAAGAAAAATTTGATTTCAAGAACGGTGGTGGAATTTCCAACCAAACCAGTCTAAAATCACGTCCCTGGTATCATGTCAGGAATTTCCACAGGTGTTTAGCATACATGAACATAAACAAAAGTAAATATGACATCAACCACAGTCTAGTAATATTTAAGTTTACAATCCATAATCTCTTATACATGCCTTGAAATAAAAGATAAGAGTAAATACAACTCTTCACTTTCCTGAAACAAGTCCACGTCACCAGTAGTAGCTACCTACTCCGCACTACTCCTCGCGTCGCCTGGAGGGGTTTAATACATTTGAAAACAGGAAAAGGTGAGCGAAAGGCCCAGTAGGATATAATTTTATAAAGCATTTAAATTAAAGGTACTCACGGTCCGAAGATATACACCCAGAACCGATCATCCTTTTTTTAAAAAAAAAAGGAAATTCACACAAAATAAAATATGTGTGTATAAAAAAAGTCTACAGCATAATATCACAATAAACAAAGAGGTGTAAAAATCTGTGT